ATAAAATATGCTCCTAACACATTTTTTCTGGGCTTAAAAGGCAGTTACAGAATCAGTCGAATATTCCCAAAATGTAATCATAACATATAACCGTATCGAACAGTAGAAACTACGTACGCGTGATAAGCTGTAAGGACCATGCACTGATTCGCGATCCTACTAAGTTTGTACAGTGCACAAGAATACTGGGACAACTTTTTGCAAACATGTTCAGTGTGTGTTTTTTTAGGATTATAGTACTGATTAAAGTACTGATTTGATAAAAAAAAACGTGCTTGATTTATTTATGTCGTATGTAATGGTATTTTTATATCTTATAGCTTAAATACAATGATGTCACAACTTACCTCGGTACCTGTCACAACTTACCTCGGTGGTAGGAGAGTTGTGACAAGGGGAGTGGACTTGAATTTTGTTTTTTTTTCAGAAACTATTATACTTTAATTAATTTTAGTGATGGTTTTGAAAACAGAAGGAATGGCGCTAAACTAATTCACATGAGTCATAACTGTGGAATGTTTCTTAAGCGAGATAGAGCCCCTTATGTAAAAATTGTCACAACTCTCCTAGGTCTCCCCTATATGTTACGCACAGCGATCGAAATCGCCCATAGAGCGAAAAACCTTTTTATCAAAAGTAGAACCGGCTCAAACTATAAAAAGTGATATATAATACTTATCTCAAAAGCGTCTTCTTCTAGAAAATGCTAATTGAATTCGGGCGGAGGTTTTCTGTGGGTTATTAATTAAATGATAGGCGTCTGACTTCAATAGCCATTTTCTTGAATAATTCGCTTTTGAGATAAGTATTATTTACGACTTTTTTAAAATTTGAAGTTGGTTCTACTTTTTATAATGTTTTTTTTGTGATTTAAATATTTTTCTTATATTTAATAGGTAGCACTATAAATATAAAATATATTTTAATAAAAATATTTAACATTATCAAAGTCTTAAAATAGGAGATTTTGTTTATTTGCTCAGCATAATTTTTTTTCCAATAATCTATATTCATATTTTAAAGCGGATAACTTTGCTTGTTTGTTTTCATTGGATATTCTCCGAAATTATTGGACCAATTTATAACAGTCTTTCATCTACAGTAAGCTACATAATACGCGGCATACATAAACTATAACTTACGCAGACAAAATCGCGGGGAAACACAATTAAAGAAGAAAGCGATGAACATACAATGTACCTACCCCCATATATATACTTTACTCATTGATACCTACTGTCTATGACTATCATAAAAAATATACATCAAAGAGTAAAGTACTCATTGCACATAAAACATCTTTCTTTCAGATTTTGAATTAATTCTAAATACGCAACCTTTTTTTTGTTAGATGAAATTGTCATAACATATCATCTTAATATTTAGGCGATAGATGTTGAAAAGCGTATTTTGTTAAGTTATAAAAGGAAAATTACTTATTCCATTTCAATAAAGTAATAAAAACCACCTCGAATCATAAAGATGTCGAATAAAAAAATAATATTGAAAATCGGTCAACATTTGCCAACCATTTCGGTGAACATACATAAAAAACATACATCGCCGTCGAACATATAAGAAGCCGTCCATTAATCACGTGATATTTTTTTCAGCATTTTTTAATCCTCCTTCCCCCTTGGTGATACATGGTGAAGTTTAAGACTACCCCTCTTCCACCCAAATCACGTTTATTTTTAGTATATACAAAAAAAATTAAGTTTTGACTCAGCTCTTCGGTTAAGTAAATAATGTTGCCACAACGCGTTGCGGTAGAATAATATGTCAGCCATGACACGGATTTCGCTATGTGGTTATTCTGTGAATGCCACAACGCGTTGTGAGTGTTTCCACAAGAGCCGTAACACGAATTACGCTATGTGGTTGTGTAATTGTAAAAACAACGCGATATTTTCCGCTCAATGAGCGATTTCGATCATTGAACGTAACATATACATTCTTTATTACTCAAAATTATTATACGACTCGGAATTCTTGATCAGATAACCAAATATAGAAAGTTTCTCTTACGAATTAGATTAGATTAGGTAATTATATCAGAGCTGCGAGCAGTTGGTTATAGCTACTTTCTTTCTTATTACAAGAAATACTAAAAAACAATGCAAAAGACATAAGTGTAAAATACAATAACACGCTGAAGAATATGCTAATAATATATTAAAATTAGCACGCTAATTAATGTGTAAAAAAAGGTGCACGACAGATACATTAAATCATTGCACTAAATCTCGTAGCACTTTATTTATTACATGTATAATTTATTAATATTTTATTCAGATACATGTGAAATAAAATTAAATGAATTATATACATTTGTTACCTAAAGGTAATACAATTTTACATCCCTTCACTAAAATTTGTTCTTACATTTACTGACATTATCACCTTTATTATAAACAAGTACTTATCATAATTAATAATGTCAAAAATATACTAAAATTCACATATTTTTTTACAATTTTTATATATACTTAACGTAAATTTTTATTTTACTCACATAATCGCCCTTTAAACAATTAAAAATGTTAATTAACTAAACTATGTTAATAATAAACAATCAAATTTACGCGTCTATTGAAATTCGCGCTTTCACGTTGATGCAAGATCGGCTTCGCGTGCTATTTAAAAACATGCAAATCATTCACACGTCCATTAGGGTTCTTGCCCACACGAATACTGGCCGCTCTATCTCGGACGCTAATAATCGTTGCGCGTTAACACGTTAAATTTTATCGTCTTAAGGTGTACATATGTGACAAGTGATAGCACTTACGGTCGCGACGTTTTTTTAAAAGATATTGATAACGTTTATTTGACGAAGTGATAGTTACAAATATCGTTATAAGCTATTATGGAATCACTATCACAACCGCTTTAAGTTGGAAAGGGATTGTGGTAGATTTAAAAGACAATTAGTCTACCGATTTTAGCAATTAGTTCAATATCGGTGCAATTAAGTCAAAATATTTTAGTGATAATGCAATCCAGTGCACACTTGTGGCTCATTTGAAATTAGCTGTCATTGGTTTAATAATTAAGGAAATAAACCGACAGAAATGGCCCGCATCTCGCACGTCTACGAATAATATAAATAATCCTTTAAGTCCACGAAGCATTGCGAGAAAGGAATAAACGCTACAACTTGCAACTTGTGTCATCATCCGCGTGTATTATATAATGACATGGGATGCCTGTCATAAGCAAATATTTCGACGTCTACATAACTAATAGATTTTCGGACTCCAACTTTAGCCCTCTTCCATGTCCTGAGAGATGAGATTGCAAACTATGTTACATCATCTCTCCTTTTCAAAGTGGAAAGTCGTGTATATTAGCTTTGTATACTTAACTTCAACGTACAATATTTAGTTAACTATTTTGTCGTCTATCCTGCTTTAATTTTCCCATTTTTAAATTTCATAAATTAAGGAAGAGCAAAATGAAATTTACGATACACATATCAAAAATTAGTCTCGAGAGTTTTTAGACAGAAAAGGCATTTAATTCATTCAAATTTAGTCAGACCAGGACCTTCGAATTTTGACTTATAAAAGGCTATTTTTACAAAGAATATTTTTTGCCATTTAAAGCATTAAGTATCCGGATGAAAGTCTTATGTCAACTTGGAGTAACATATCTTTCTAATAGTAAAGAGGTTACCATCCGCATGAATATAATGGAAGAGTGATCCTAAATAATGGAGTTTAAATGCTAATCGTCACTATATCAAAATGGGTTTAATCAAAGAGATTGTTTAATACCTTTGGGTTTAACAAAGTCAATCAACTTTGGGTTTAACAAAATGTACTTGGAAAGGTCGTAGAATGTCCATGGAAAATTTGAATAGTTAAGATAAAGAAAAACATTGAAAAAATATCAAAATCTGAAAATTCCAGCCAAAACTAACTATTTATTGTCGTGCAGATTAGATCCGATAATGTTTTGTTTTTGTACGCTCTGTGAAAGATTTCCATTATTTTAATATTCCACACATAATTCTCATTTAATAAATTTTAGGACAAATAAAGGCGTGTGTAATTTGAAGAGATAACCGATGTGGATATTTCACGTAGCCTTGAAAAAAAAGTCTAAAATATAATATAATCCCTCAACTATACGCGATGAAAATTGTTTATAAGATGTTTCATTAAAAAGATAAAATTAAAAATTGGCAAAGCAGCTTGTAAATAAATACAAATGGGTTACAAATAGTTACACGTTCGATCGACAGATTTGTCTTAGATTTTTTTTTACAAATTATAGCTAGACTTAAAAAATGCCTTTTTTAAGAATGCAAAACAATGATTTTCTATACAATATAGTCATATCTCCAGTAATTTTTTATTTATAATAGAAGGAAATTATTTGAGTAGGTAGACGTTGATTCTGGGATAAGTGGGGTTGACAGTGATGTTTTCTTAATAAAACTATACGACAATACATTGTTATTATCACATCACATCGCATTATACCATGAAATTCGAAGGCGACATCGAAAACAATATTTACTGAAGCTTAAAACAAGGTCGCATAATTGTTTTGTTCTTAAGACTTTGCTATGGGTCAAAATACATTTCAATATAAGGTTTTGGTTAAAAAGGACGCTGTAATAAAAAATCAATTAATGTATGTCACAATTTTTATTTCAGATCTTAAGTAAAAAGTAATTTATCATTTAGATAAACAAAATACAAAGGAAAAGTTATGATAAAAAGCTAAAGCTTGACACCGATAAGATTAGTTATTTATACAATAGTTTTGAGCAATTTATAAAACATAAGTTGTTTTCCTTAAACTTCACTCTCATAAAATACAAAGGGTTTATTACATCCTGTTCAAATAATCAATATTAATATATTGTTCATGATAGTGCAATGATAACCTTTCAACATATAAACATGATAATGCCATCACTTAGTGTACAATGCAGTAGGAAAGGCGCGAGCAGTGGGAACGGTTTTTTATCCGCGTTTTGTACATAGTGAACACGACGCCGCTAATATAGGTATGTGTTTTATATCACTCGATTTAAACTAGCTGCCTACACCTCTTCCATAGTATTTGTACATTTATGAATGTTGGTGAATGACATGAAATCACTTATTGTTTTAATTCTCAGCGTCCAAATAGTGCTGACTGTGAAATATGAATTTGATGAATACACAAGGGAATCGAGGACACTAACTGGTAAAACATGTCTTACTGGTTGCTCACCTATCGACAACGAATGTGTCGTTGACTGGCAGTGGAAAAATGAATCTTGCCGTGCGTATGAGCCGGCTCCTGTGTATATGACATCAAGATTTAAAGATCGTAGCAGTAAATACTGCTTGAGTAATTGTGACTATTTCGGCTCTAAAGAGCAATGGTGTATAACAACGAAGGATCTGAAGTGGGATTTTTGCACAAAATATAAAAGGCCACCTTTTACTGGTACTAAATCCAGATCTGAAACAATCATTACGCAAACAGTAGTTGGAGAAACATGCCTTGGACCATGTCACCGTTGCGAATGCACTGATTATAACTGGTGCAAGGTGGAAAATAAATGGAAGTGGCATTATTGCGCGTATCCAGCTATGTCCCGAATTCCAGTATTGCCAGCGGATTATAATGTGGGCCAAAAACTTAAAGGTATATGCGACGATTTTTTGAAATTCCACTCCTCTATGCGCCGGGATACGCACTACGAAGATAAATCAAGCTTGCCGGATAATTTCTTGGCCGAACTAGCAGACGGTATCGAAATAACAACTGGGCAACTTGACACAGTTGCTAAAGTAGTTCGACTGAATGATGTAAATAATCCTATTGAAAGTTACGTGACTGTAAATATTAATAATATCTATGTGCCAGCAATAGTAAGAGCTCACATAAGTAAAGACATGTTGCATCGACAGACGAATGTAAGTCATTCAAGAGATGAGATAGAGAGAAAAGTCCGTGAGCAAATGTCAGGAAATACAAATCCATATGTCATAGAAAATTTGATTGGAGATAATGTTGGTGGTCCAGATAAAGATTATAACGTTGTACCGATGTCTCAAGACTTAAGTTGCGTCTGGTATGAACTTTGGGAAGCTATAAGAAACTGGTCCCAGGATAGCGGTGGTTCTGTGGATGTTCTAGTTGTTGTATTTTATTCTGACGCAAATACGCCAGTGCCTAAAGCGTTTGGTGTTTCGTTAACATTCCGTAACATAGATAGAAGTTTGTTTTTATCATGTCGAGAGACGGTATACTTTAATGTCTTGTAATCTTATGTTACCGTCACTTGATCTATAAAAAAAAATTATACCGTGTTCTCATTTCTAGTATATTTGTTTGTCCTTCTTTTACTCGTACGTATAAATAGCGCTAGAGTCATAAAATTAAATGGTACAATATTAGATACTATTATAATAAAAATAATATTTTAATATTTATTTCATCGTAAATCTTTAGTTAAAGACGAAATTTAAAAATAACCAATCATCGAAAAAACAACGAGTGTTGTAACACTATACGAAAATTCCAAAATTATTTGAGTTTGATGAAAAAGATCACATGGTTTTGAATTAAACTGACTATCAATTGGTTCCCTATTCTAAACATACATTCATAGAAAGAGAAAGTAGGCAAATATTACTATTGTGTCTCTTATCTTTTTTTCTTTATGTTACTAAAATGTTAGTGCGATTACTTCATGTCACCGAAAATAATTCCAATGTGTATATAACATGTTTTATTGTGATTAGTGCAAATAAAATTATCATTCATTAATTTGTTCAAAAGCTTTTTCATCTTAAGAAAGAACTGGCTTCTGAGACACAAGTTTTCTTAAATTAAAAAACACGAGTTTCATTAATATGTTTGTAATAAATGTTGTTGTTATAAAGATTTTCATTTTCTAAGTAAAAGTTGGCATCATAGTCAGTTTACAACAAAAATGATAACACTATACCTTTTCTTTTGCTTCTCGGTCACTTGAATCCGTATTGTGGTTATCACAATGGAAGTTTCGTTTGACGTTCACATAATGGGGGGTGGACACGGAAAGATTAAAAAGATTACAGTGACGCTTATACAAGCGTTTTGGTGGATTACTGTTGAAGTCAAATTGTTTGGTTGGCCTTAGACGATTTATTTTGTTACAGCATTGTTTACTACGCGTAACAGACAACCTTCGTCTAATTTCGGACCAGAATTGAGCGTGTTTCCTTTTAATATAATTATATACAATACGAGGGTCAAACTGAAAGTTCTTAGAAAATCAAAAACTGATTACATTAGCCAGTTATTAGTTTTATTATATCTTTTCAAAATATTGTCCATTCACGTCAATACACCGCTGCATGCGATGGAACCACTGGGAAAAGCACTTTGCCCACTCGTCCTTAGGGGTCTCTTCAATGGCATCGCGATACGCAGCCACCGCTTCTTCAGCATTCATAAACCGCTTTCCTTTAAGTTTTTCTTTAATTTTTGGAAATAAATAAAAATCACAAGGCGCGAGGTCGGGGCTATACGGCGGGTGACCCAGTAATTCAACGTTTGATGTCGCCAAATAGTCGATCGTTCGCTTGGCGGTGTGCGACGAGGCGTTGTCGTGGTGAAGGAGGATCCTACTGCGAGGTCGTTTCTCTCGAACTTTTTCCAAGACAAGTGGCAAACAATTGGTAGTGTACCATTCTGCAGAAACTGTTTTTTGATCCTCTAACACAATTGTTGCAAAATGACCTATCCTTCCAAAGAACGAGGCCACCATTTTTTTTCCCGCACTTCGATCTCTCTTCACTTTAGTTGGCAACTCCTCGAAAGAAAACACCCACTGAGCAGATTGTCTTTTGGTTTTAGGATCATAACAGTAAATCCAGCTTTCGTCACCTGTTAGTATGTCGAACACAGCATTTGAGTCACCTCCGTTAAATCTTTCAATCATTTTACGACACCAATCCACACGATGGAGTTTTTGAGCCTCAGTCAAATTATGAGGCATCCACCGGGCGCAAAGCTTCCTGACCGCTAAATGTTCGTGGAGGATTTTGTGCACTTGACTCATACCGATGCCTAAGCTTGTCCGAATCTGTTGATAGGTCACTCTTTTGTCAGTCTCTATCATACGCCGCACAACACAGATGTTATCTTCAGTCGTCGCCGTAGAAGGCCGTCCCTCACGTAAATCATCAGTGAGATTAGTGCGACCACGTTTAAACTCATTAAACCAGTTGTAAACAGTCGCACGAGATGGGGCTTCATCGTGAAAGGCCAATCGTAGTCTATCATAACTTTCTTGTTGACTTAAATGACATCGAAAGTCATAAAAAATCATTGCACGAAAATTTTCTCGTGTTAAATTCATGATGACGTGACACAGACAATTTTCAATTTGCCGCCAAATCGTAAAACAAATGACAAATGAATGAAATATATACTCAGTAATATTGGCAAAGAGTTATATTTTCAAATTTTAGAATTATTTTTTTATTATATTGTTTATAAGTGGCCAGTTCTAAGAACTTTCAGTTTGACCCTCGTATTACTTCATTTATTTAAGTGGACTTCTACACTGTAATGCCTGAATCTAATTGAGTATTTAAGATAATGTGTCGTTGCATGGAGGAGCTAGATGGTGGTTAGCGCGCTCGATCTGCGATCCGGTCGTGAAATGAGTTTTGCAATGGCCGGTCATAGGATGGGTGACCAAAAATTTATTATAGGGACTTCTTCCGTGTTTCAGAAGGCACATTAAACCGTTAGTCCTGGCTGCGTCTACAGTCGTTGATATCTACCAATCCACACAATGCCCGCGTGGTGGGTCATATTATAGATTATTATCCCTATTCGATCTGATTTGGTTTCATCCGTAGGGAATGCCTGAGCCCTATCAGTGGTGACATTGACAAATGAATATTATTTAAGCACCTAACAGTTGAGGATAAGTTCTAAAATCACGCCAATTATATGTTTTCTTCCAACTAACCAAATGCTTATTTAACTATAGGCAAATAATATTTGTCAAAATCAAACGACTAATCATTTACTTTATTAGATTTTGAACTTATTTTCAATATGTTCTGTTAAGTATTTAATATTTATTGCCTTTTTTGTACAAAAGCGCATAAGAACTTTCACGATGATGGGAACAAGATAGGTCATGGTCGTCCTTTTTTTAAAGCGGGAAAGCCTTAAACTAGCGCTTCCGACCTCGCACCCGTCCTGAAAATGACAGGCTTAAGCGAGGCCGGCCTACCTGGTAAAATCCGCTGCGAGTACCGTCCGAGGGTTGGGAAAAGGTCCCGAGATCTGGCAAAAAGCCCGCTTGGTCCAATTGTCGTCCCTCTACTTCATATTTTTGAGAAATTTGGTTTTCGTACGTTGAATTGTTGATTCTTTCTATAACTCCCAGAGAAATATAGGTTTAACTGCTATTAATAGACTTCGTTATATAAAAGGACACTTTTCCGAGATATAAGCCGTTAAAATGTATACGAAGTCAATTTTAATGAGAATGTTCTTGAGGTTTTGATATATTTACTGCCAGTTGCACAAACGTCCATTAAAATTTTCATTACTTTAAAGTGACATTACCCATACAAATTTGACATTCATTACAGCTTTAAGGCGTCATTAAATCTGAATGGACGTTTGTGCAATTGACCGTTAGTCTTGTAACTAAGAAGATACGATTTCAACATGTTTATTGTAATTTTTTTTGACTAACCTCTATTCTAATAAAGAAAAGAACGTTCCTGTACGACGACAGCCACGCATCATAGTTAATATATTTAACCCTTTTCATCGTAATTTATTCAGTCGTAAGCGTGAGTAACTTCAGCTTATATTAAATAGGATTTATGTTGTTAACCCCGTTGTCATGCCTAAAAAAAAGAAAAAAGAACACATTACGTATATCAACGGCTTAACATCCCGCGCAACTCATGTTTGATAAAGTGAATGGATATTTATGTTGTATATACACGCGATGTGCTGGCAACCTATCAATGTCAAACCACTATTTGTTACGATGATCGATGTGTTTACCAATATAAGTCCAAGTTAGGTGTTGTCTGGGCATCGTCCTGATTGGCCAAGCAAGATCACACGAGCAAATGACATGATATCCTTGTAGCGCCTGAACCAAAACTTATAGTTACGTAGTGCTAACTGTAAATTGATTTCCAACCAAAAAACAAAGTCCATTAGGTTTTAATTAAGAGCTCGATGGCGACTGCGCCTAACCACTGGGTTAGCGAGCTTGGTCTATGACACAGTTGTTAACACGTTTATTGCCGTATCAAGCGTCGCGTGAATCGGCCTATTACGCTGTGGCCGGAACGCGATGCCGCGTTATGGTCCCTTACAATTTTTTTAATTATTTATTTTTAATTTAATTCCTTTTAGTGACCAGTAAATATGTATATATATGAGTAGCTCGGTGGCGTAGTGGATTAGCGCCGCGGCCCGTGATCGTACTCGTTAAGCAACTTTCACAAGGGTCGGTCACGGGATGGGTGACCAAAAAATTATTAGCTCGAGCTACTCCGTGCTTCGGGAGGCACGTTAAGCCGTTGGTCCCGGCTGCATTTGCAGTCGTTAATACCCTCCAATCCGCATTGGGCCAGCGTGGAGGGTCATGACCCATCCTCCTTAACCATCCATAAGGAAGGCCTGAGCCCCTGCAGTGGGGACGTAAAAGGGCTGATGATTATTATTATGATTATTAAATATGTATATCAAAGTATATATTTTTTAACCAGACCTTTAATTTGATACTCTTTTCCGTCATCATTATTTGTCAAGTGGTGGACAATAGTCTCTCCGTTAACTCCTTCCAGCGTGATCTGCAGGTTGTCTCACGCATCCATGATTTGCCAGCTGTTAGAATAATATCATCGAACCATCTAGCCTTCGGTCTTACTTGTTTCCTGCTGGGGATGTTCGTGGCTGATATATAATTATTTTTTTCCTCCGTCTGAGCATTTCATTATATGACAAGCCCATTACCGCTTTAATTTAGCCACTCGCTTCCCTATATCCATAAAACCGGTCCGTTTACATATCTCGATCAAATAATTAGATAGACTTAGCGAATATATAGATATCCGCTGTATAGATCTTTAGTTCTTTCTATGGCTCTTTGAATTACTTTGAGTCTCCGCTGATATACATATTGCTTTAATTTAAAAAAAAAATGGCTTGTTACATCCGCCATTTGAAATGTAATAAAAATATATAACCAGTGTTACTCGAGAAGATGTAACTTTTCTAATAATATCCTATACTTTAATATTTGTTAAACCTTTCAAACGTTATGGTGGAATAATGAAACTCGCATATATACATACGTATATAACTTTGGGCAGTCATGTAAAACTAGTCACGTTATAGAGCTTCATTGAAATAAAACCTTCATTACCTTTTGTAGTAGGTTTTATTTAATTGAACCTCTATGACGTGCGACGACATTGAAACTATTAGAGAATAAGCACCACATAATATTTCTTTATTATTAAGATTATCTTTATCATTTTCGGGTTGTTCAAGTATTCTGAGTAGCTCGGTGCCATAGTGGATCAGCGCCGTGGCACGTGATCGTTGTTGTTAAGCAACTTTCGAAAGGGTCAGATACGGGATGGGTTAAGCAAAAAAATATTATATCGGGTTATTCCGTGCTTTTGAAGGCACGTTAAGCCATTGGTCCCGGCTGGATTTGCAGTCGTTACTACCCCCAATCCGTATTAGGCCAAAGTAGAGGGTCATGGCCCGTTCTCCTTAACCATACATAAAGAAGGCCTGAACCTCTGCAGTGGGGACGTAACAGGGTTGATAATGATGATAAAGTACCTATTCTGGCAAGGTATTTCTTAGTATGCGGGTAAACTACGAGCTAATTCTTGAAATATTGCTCGAAACAAAACTCAACAATGTTTTATAAAAAAATATCAAACATCAAGAACAATATTCTTTATTGAGTCTATTTATTTATCACAAATTTTGTTTTCCTATACAACTAGAGATAACGTAAATAATACTAGATTTTCTTAATATCATTTTAAATAACAATATTGACTAGACGATGATACAGATACTTATGTTTTCTTTGGTATAAAAATGTATCCTTATAATTATATTTTCACATAATGATGAATTGCATTTACATTTACAATATTAATGACAAAAAATGTAACCTTTTTAGTAACATTACAGCGGTGATTACTGACGAAGAAATTACAGAAAAATAAAGCAGTAGTTATATTTAGCCTGCTTAACCCTGCCTGTCGCCACGTGTGACGTATCACATATTCCCACAACACGCAGGTAATAATATCATGAGTCTCATACTAAATATACAAATCCAAAATGCATAGCGACATACGAGGAGATGAATGGCAGACTAGGTATAACCTTCGCATACTACGTATATCGTACTTACTAATTGGCTTGCGCAGAAGAGAGGAAGCTAAATCCCATGGAATAGTAATCCCAACATTCTTAAAATGTAAACAAGATACCGCGGGCGTTATAATGGCGTTTCAGACAATAGCGTCTTAATGTTTTATACTCACTCCAAAAATTTAACTTCTATACAGGTACAATTATGTAACTTATAAACATGCTTCTTCTACAGAACTAAAGAAACTGTTAGACTATTTTAATAATCTTTATGTTAAATTTAGTAATTGAATCGTGTACCAAATTCATGAACAACTACATATTTAGAGCAAGTCTACTATATAAAAAATACAATCGTTTTAAATAGGGAATTACCTTGCACGGACTTTAAAAGTTTAGTGTCTGTACCGTTGTCTTCTTTGTGTCTTTACTATTGTGGTTCTACTATCTACAATTTTATTTAAATTACATTTCAATGTCAAATTTAAAAATCTTTATCCATCATTAAAAAATCTCAATAATGTACATGCACTTATTTTTATGGAGTTCAAGGTTTTAACACTTTGATTATAGTCTAAAAATAATAGACTCGCTTACGGCTGATGTTTAATGAATACGACATACACTAAATATTATTGATAGTTTTATAAAGATAAAAGATGGTATAATTAATAAATAATATAAAATTGCCGCCGTTGATTAGTGTACCGACGAAGGCTTAGCTGTCGACATTCACAAGTGAACAGATAATATTCAGTTTGAATTTGAGATAAATTAAGAACGAAAAATATAGTTTCGTGATAAATTTTTTGCAGTGCATAATCATTAATCACGACTTTGTTTCTACAGAAGCTATATCAATTTCAATTAAAATTAATATTGTTATAGCAGACCTTTTGTGTTAGCGACACGCACATTAACTAAATTATGAATAAATACGTAGGTAAATACGTTTGCAATAGCCCTTAGAAATTAGAATCTTAGATTTATTTGCTTTATTTTTTTAACAAAAGAAGGATATCAAAATGATTTACTGAAACAGGTAGAAAAACTTCATATAGTGTCAAAAATGTATCATTTTTGATAAACTTTAGAATGCTATATCGTTCTTTATGATAAATATAAATATTAACTCAAATCCAAGCGACAGGAAAACAATTGGGATGGCGATTGGGTTAAAAAAAAAGAAATTCTATTTAGTCTTTCAGTCAAATAATCGAAAAATATTAGATACGTATTTTTTCACTTCGATTTAACAAGAAATACCTTAGATAACAAGCATTAAAGTTGAGGAATGGGGGCTCGCTACGTCACAGTTTTGTAGAAAATGTACCAAAGCGTATCACTGTAATTTAATTATTACGAAAAAAATATATGCCTTAATATTTTTTTACTATCTGCCTGACAAACAAAAGTATAGTCATCAGCCCTATTGTCTTAAGGTAAACCTTGATGTTAAAAACATAAGGATTAAGCATGAACAATGTTTCTTAAGCGAGACCCATAAACGTGTGTATAGCTCCATTATATTTCAACCTCTGCAAGTGCATTATGTCAAAGAGCTTACGCCGTAAAGTCGGTACCATAAACAGACTTGTTAACGCTTAGTCCTTTTACATTTCTTTATTGTGAGTCTCCAAAATGCAACTCTAAAGTCTGGTGAATAAAATGCATAAATGAATGGATTTATAGCGGAGTTGAACCAGCCGAGCCACGTCAATATATACATTAGTACAGGGTTCACATAACTAGAAGGAATGAAAGGAGTCAGTAGATAATATAGGAAGAAAGGTAACCAGCAAGCTACGAACCCACCCACCACTAAACTGAGGGTCTGCGCGGTTTTGGTTTCTCTTCTCAAAGAAGATACTCTGTTATTCTCTATGTTATCTTTCATGGAATGTGTGCGATGGCGTGTTGTATTTTTATATTTAAAATTAGCTTTGAAAGTCACTTCGTTGTAAAATCTCGATTCTTTCTCTTTACTACCTCTGTATAATTTGGAATGTCTCTTTTTCTCCGCTTTGAAACAGCAAGGACATTTGTGATCTACTTGGGAGGAACACTCGCTCTGTTGCGTGGAATTCTTCGATGCTTGTTTTGAAGCACTCTGCCTGAGTGATAACTTGTCGGATCCCGAATCCGATTCTGTGCGAATACAAGACAGTTTTCCTTTCTGAAACAATAGTAGATAAATTATTAACTATATTTTTTTATTCATCCCTCCAAGTTGTAGAGTATTAATAATATTTTTGTTTTCGAGTCTAAATTTAGGTAGCTGGATAAATTAAATAAATATCCCTTAATGGTTGGTTCATTTAGCTGATTCAGCAAATAACTGCCATAGATAACATAGAAGTTACAACGATAAATTGTAAATTTTGATAACGAAAACAAAGAGCGGATACCAATCTAAAATTCAAATTGAAATTAGGGAAATCAAACAAATTAAATAAAAATTAAACAATGACCAAGTTGAAGATAAAATTCGCTTTATTTTTTTTACTAGTGGACGCCCGCGACTTCGTCCGCGTGGAAGTCGGTATCCCGTGGGAGTGAGAAGTTTTCCCAGTAAAAAGTACCCTATGTGTTATTCTGATGTATAACCTATATTGCTGTAAAGTTTTATCCAAATCCGTCCAGTAGTTTTTTCGTGAAAGAGTAACAAACATCCATACATCCATACTTACAAACTTTCGCCTTTATAATATTAATAGGATGGCAATAATGTAATTATTTTACATATTATTAATTTCTAAGGATTAACTTAGCAACCTACTATTTTTACTGTCATTTTTAATCACTACTTAAAATGGCCGTTCCTTTTAAGTAGTAATTTAGTAATAACATTCGCCATGAACTCCATTATTAAGTGATTCAGCAACATACAATTTGGGTCACAATAGAATGAATTTAATTCAACGAAAGCGGAATGAGTTAACAAAAAAGAATGATAATTTTCAAGCATTAAAAAGCATTTTGAAACAGATTTTCGTTTAAGAAAGTATATAATTTGAAATGCTTCGTAAAAGCTTTAGAATTGTTATTCTATTATAATCGCATGTGTCATGAAAGAGCTGCACAAGACTATTCCAGTGAAAACTTTGTTTTATTAGTCCCCTCACAGAACTCTAGAACTGATTACAACATACTACGGAAGCGAATGTGGATTGGTGGTTCTTTACGATTACAGATGCAGTCAGAATCAACGGCTTAATGTGCCTTTCAAAAATCGGAATATTTAATTATCAGGTATCCTACGAATGTGGGCTTCTGGGAAATTTGAAGAAGAATTGTAATTAAATAAATGTGTCGTAAAATGAAACTTATCAAATCAAAACACAACAAGGCAGAGCAAAATTAAACAAGTTTTCTTTAAGTCTAAAACCAACTCGAATTCAAAAATTGTTTTTGGAGTAGAAAGAAAAACTTCACAAAAGCCGATAGCAGTAGGTTTCTTTTAAAACGTATTTTTAGGTCTTAGAGCAAAATGATAAATGGTCTATGATAAATCGATTTCACTCCAATAAAAGACGAAGAGTCATTATGAAGACAAGTCTGATCTCGAAGCAATTATTTATATTCCAAACGGGAGTTATTATTGATGGCCAAAATCCGAATAACAAAATAAATTGTGTTGTGTTACTCGCTTTATTGATGATGGTCTGTTGTAGTATGTTTACGATAACGAAACATTTGAAAATGATCATGTTTAAAAAAAACACGCTACGTACAGCAAAAGAATTTTTGATAATCGTGATTTACAATTAAGAATACGGTACAAGAAAAGTCTTATGTCGAAAATTTAAGATTCTACAATTATGTATATTCATTTTGTAATAATTTTAGTTGCGAAATAAAATAGAAAGATGAAAATGATAAATTATTAATTATCTGGGATACGCAGAGTCTCATCCCAGAGTGCCAGGGACAAAGTGGATTTTTAAGCATTTTTCAATAAAATTATATCCATAACTTCCCGAATATTTTGCTTTGGTTAATATATCAATCTGTCTGTACACTCGATTTGTAGTCCATATTTAATGTCATCGCAATATAGTCTTAATTCTTATTTATCTTAAGAAATCAAACTAAGTGTAATCTATTCGTATCAAATAAACACATAGCTTGTACATTGTACTGGCTGGTGCGAATCGGAATAAATATCTTTCGTAAATCACATTTAACTACGTGTCTTTCTGTGTGTAGCAACACCGGCGATAGATCACATATTTTTTCTATTATAAGAAGTTTCCATTTTGCCCACTCCTTCTATTTTATCCCACTGAGATGGACTTGAACCCATGACTTTTCGCAATCCGGACGACTGCTCGAAGCACTGAGCTATCCGGGATCAAACAGGACTGACGTATTTTTCAGGCACTTATTACTTTTTAACTACTACAGAGCGTATTTTCATCAATGTTCAGGCAAAATACCCGAACAGCTGAAAGAAATATTTTTACAGATATTTAAACTTTCGATAAAGATGATAAATTATTATATTTTTAAGTATATCTCATTGAGATTATTTTGAGTATAGTATTGTGAATTCAAAATTAATCTAATATAATAATAAGTTATATATTAATATAATTATAATACCAGCGTACGAGCAAAGATGGAAATTTGAAGCAAAATAGAGGGAGTAAAAAAATGAAAGTTACAACAATGAACAAAAATACTACCCTAAAAACAAAGGGACAAAATTAAAGAATACGAGAAGAGAAATCAACAGAGAAATTTAAAGAAATAATTATTTCTCAGTTTCCCGAAGAGAAATACGAAAAATCAGTTATAGAAGACTGCTTACGATGTCTATAGTATTGTAAATAAGTACGTAAGCTAGAAAATGGTTTTAATTTTAAGTATTAATTGCAAAACTTGAATTTATGTTATTGCAAATTGCTTTTAACCATTCTATTTTACTCTCTAGATGAGGGCAGATTAGATAAGAGCAATCATATAATTATAAAAAATCTATCACGGTGCTTTTTATTGAGATCTCCGATATAGCCCTAGTGAGGAAGCAAGTACTCTTTAGCACAGTTTGCCCTTGAGCCTAGTTTTGACGGCTAAATCCTAATTTTAGACTTTTTTTCTATCCAATGCAGCCAATAGTTATGTAATGTTTTAGAATACTTACTCGACACGATAGATATACTGACATATAGATATTTTCAATTGATATTAGATATGACCAGAATAATTTAAGACCTTTTTTAAACAGTGATGTTTAAATATTATATAATATGATTGGATACATGACTACGTGGCTCACAAACTAACGCTCTTCTTCGTGAACTGCGCCATATTTGATAATGACGTGAAAATTAGAACCCATATTAACGCTGGTTATTCTGAATTCATATCAAAAGCTTTGTATATTCATCTACAAAGCGCATTGCTAATTTTAACATTACACTAATTAATGTTAAAGGTCAAATGGTAGATATCACATGTTATAAATGAGCCCTAAAGGTGCTCATCCACTGCCTCAACACTCACGCACCGGCGGCACGACGGCTTTGTCGATGTGGTACATCGACTGCAGTCGTATTAATAGAATTCTTTGCGTGTCATGTTACCGAGCTGACATATGGACGTTCACCTTTATAGCATTATGTATTTAAAGATACATAATGCTATAAAGGAAAAAATACTAACCTTGTTACACTTAGTAGCGGTGCTAGAGAGTTGTTGGTGTCTCCTTGCAACCACACAAGATATTCTGGCGTATACGTACACCATGACTGCCATTGGAAGAAAAAAGGAACCCATAGCGGAGAAGACGACATAGCCAGCGTTTTGATTGTAACGACAAACTCCACCTTGATTATGGTCTGGTTCATACCTGAAGGTCAAAAAAGAAAACTTGTTTTTTTTTGAGGTAAGGTACCCGTAGATACCATAGTTGGGCATTGATTTCAAATATTGTACATATAATAACATTAATCTTTTTTCTACAACCTAGAAATAATAGAATGTGAAATTCTTTTATACCGTCCGGCCCGCAAATGTTTATACATGATGAATTGATAAGGTAATAAATTCGTACGTGTTTGTGGACACAAGCACATGTTACCATTTAAGAGCCGATAGACATTGACCCGATGTGGGTATAGTCAGTGTAGGTCGGAGGTAAAAAATATCTTACAAATATTTTCATATAATATAATGAACGTTTTAGAAATCGGGACAATATAGCAAAACATCTTTTTTGTTACGGACCTCTGATTCACAAACGTAGTATCTGCAATAAAGATATTCTAGCTTAATCTCTAAAAGGTCCTACTTCGTACGCCATTCATTCCCTCTATACTAAAAAAGCCCAGCAGTAGGGACCCTGAGAAGCAACAGCCCATTCTTTAAAAAAATTGTGCTTGTTTATAATAGAATATCATAATGATCTGATGATAATGTTCTTTAAAAGCTCGCAAACTTAGATTTTTTTCAATAGGTAAGTTGTTTCGTCCAATACATATGAAGATGCAAAAATTCAAGTCATACATATCAAAAGAGTAAACAAAATTAGCCTAGGATAAAAAGTAATAAAACAATATCAATATCAAGTATAGCTCGTACTCACCATCCCAACATCGGCGGACATGTTATAGCTCCCGCAGCAATCCAGACAAAGAAGATCATGGTCAGAGCTAGTTTCTTTGACCTCCTTCTTCTTGAGTAGGTCAGTGGTCTTGTAACTGCGAGATACCGGTCAACACTGATGGCGCAAAGAGACAGGATAGAAGCAGTGCACAGTAAGATATCCAAGCTTATCCAGATATCACAGAGGATCCATCCGAGTTCCCATTTACCTGTGTACAAAAGAATTATAATGTAGTAGTTTGGAAAAATATATACTAGTTCATACAGCAGCAAATCAAGTTATTTGAAGTTACAAAAGGCGAAATATTTACAATCAATTAGATTGTAAATATAAGTCTGCTATAGTTTAAAATCGATTGGAGCCTATTTTTCTTCAGCCAATTTGAGATTTCGCGGTATATTACCTATCTGAAAAGGACAATGTATGGGATATGGAGATAGCATGCTGGCAGATGTAGTTTAACCCTAACGCTCTATTCCTACCATCTGATAAGTGACAGGGTACGTGATATTCTCTTTCATGAGCCCAACAAGCAGACAAATCTGTCGATCCATTTAGTAGATGGATCTTCAAAAATGTCTAGTGGTTAAATATTATGAAGCTAATCTTTTAGTTTCATATTATTTACATAATATTTCGTTTTAGTAGTTTTATATCGCAGCCGTGCCGGTGTTTGGACAAAACGAATATAATCACAGTCATCACCAGCCCTTTTACGTCCCCACTGCAGGGGCTCAGGCCTTCCTTATGGATGGTTAAGGAGGATGGGCCGTGACCCTCCACGCTGGCCCAATGCGGATTGGAGGGTATTGACGACTGCAAATGCAGCCGGGACCAACGCCTTAACGTGCCTTCCGAAGCACGGAGTAGCTCGAGATAATAATTTTTTGGTCACCCATCCCGTGACCGACCCTTGCGAAAGTTGCTTAACGACTACGATCGCGGGCCGCGGCGCTTATCCACTACGCCACCGAGCTACTCGAAACGAATATAAGTTTACTAAGAATCCAATTAAAATTATGATTTCGTAGTAGTGATTTGTATGCATGAGAAAAACTAGACCTAGCTTTATAATTACTAGTTCGTCGTAAACATTATTGTTATTCATGTTAGAAGGCTCTCACTAACAGTTGTAGCTAGAATAAAGCATATTATACTTGCTTTTCGCGAGCAGATTTGCCCTTGTGGCTTGTATTATGTAATATAAATCTTTATCTTGAATCTGTCTGTATATTGATGAAAATCTACTGTGAAGTTTAGAAGATCTCAGAGCACAGACAGCGGGAATTGACTTTGTTTCATACTATATATATGTTTGTTTTAAAAAAAAAATCTCCCTATTCAAACAAATTCACATTCCTCTTTTTTAATATCAATAATGTTTTTCATAGAAATTGTCATGTAATTAAATAAATATAAAATTCAAATATAAGTTGAAACTTTATGAATTTAAAAATGGCAATCTCGAAGTTTAAAATTGGGCCATTATTAAAGTTATTTCGGAACATCTGGCGGAGAAGTTTAATAATACGGCCATATCTAAATATACGTATAAAATATTAAGAGACCCTTATTCTCTTTGCAATAAGAGTGACATAAATAGTATACTTACTTAGTTTTGAATCAGACTATACGATAATATTAATTCTACTTAGCTGCTTAAAATTAAATTTGTTAGAGAATATTTGCGCGAATCGTAAAAAAATTATTGGTTGTAAAAAGTGTTATTGCCCTTTGCGTATTCAAAATGTCAGTAATTTGTGACTATTTGAAGAAACAAAAGACTTGTATTTAGCGGTGTACAATGGTCCATTGGTACTTGAAGAACCAGGAAGGTGGTTGGTAATGGTCCTACTTGTAAGCAAGATACAGATATCGCGCATTGTTACGACTATGCGGGATAACTTGAAGCTTCCGTCTTGACGCAAGTCACCGTGGCAACGTGATAAATGTCGCTTATTTAACGTGTCAGTAAAGATTGTACAGCTAAATCAAGATGACGCGCCTGGCCGGCTACTCGGATTTAAAATAAAACATGATCAGAAAGCCAAACTTATATTATTCTGAATTTTTGGTACGAGAACTTATAATGTTTTTCGTTTATTTTATTTTCATTGTGTTTGTTTGTGAAAATGGTGTTGTTTTAAGAAACAGTGTCAACTGCAAAAACTTAAAGAAACATTGCAACATCAAACAACTAAATCATAATTGAAAGCATAAGACAAATGAAATTAGGCAAGATTGTATAAGCTAGACTCCTTTGTATTTATAATTTAATTTAAAAATAAACAACTATATGATTTAAATAATATAGTTACCTTTACGTTTTCATATTTCACATCTATACTTTTTTATAAACATTATTTATTAAAAATATATAATTTTTTTACTGTTTTATTTTGTCATAATTCCGTTATAACGTCACCGACCGCACTAGAAAGGGGTATGCAAATTGCATTTAACTTCGTTAAAAAAAGGATGGGTGATAATTAATTTGCTATTTAATGTTTCTTCGTGTTTCATAAGATACGTTAAGCTGTTAAACGTGTCAACAGCATCTGCAGTCATTAATGCGAGATGATGGGTATCAACTCACTCTGAACCGCGTAGTGGGTTACAACCCGTCTTCCCTTAGGTAAGGGGACTTAGGTAAGGGCTCTGCTCCAACAGTAATAGCTGATGGTGCTGTTAACAGTAATAATCGATTATTTACCAACTAAAGCATGTTCTCATAAAACACCTGGTACACATTGGTCTTTATCTTTCAAATTTCAGACTATAATATAAGCAAGGTTGTTCTTTATTTTCATCTGTTAATTTACATTATTTTGTAAACTACTAAGTCTGTCCAACTAAATAGTTTATGCAAAATAAAGAATATTTCATTCATTAATAGTCAGTTGGAAGTTAGTGCTACTTATATTATAAATGCGAGTTTGTAAGGATGGATGTCTTTGTTACTTCATTCTCGTAAAAATTACTGAATGTAGTTTTATGAAAAAAGAAACTTGATTTAATATATAGGCAACTTTTTATCCCATTAACTAAACGTTTCCCTGGGGATTAATGTACTGTGTAAACTAAGCAAAGACGCTGGCGAAAAGCTAGTATTTACTTGCCTACCGAAACGAAAGATATAGGCAGTACAAACATTAGTTTTAAAGATTTTATCTCAAATTTTGATTTTAATTAATCTAACTCAATCTCAATAGAACGCCTCGAAGGTAAGCCAATGAAAAGATTAATATAAAAATCCAAATTAATTATTCCGAGAACCCGAAAGCTCGATCATCAATCATTCATCAAGTACCTTTCAGGGTCTTTCAAAGTATAGGAAATAGGTTATATTTGTTCTTTATTTTTTTATTCCTAAAGTGTTGATTGGAAGCCGCTACCGAGAAATTTTTTGTTTATTAATTTTTAATATATATTTATTGAATACACGTTTGAATTTCCCTATTGTTGTAATTACATGGAAAATGTCCTCCTAAATAACCGTAACATATAAAATTTGCGGAAAGATGAAAGTAACTGTAAATAAAATTAAAATAATATTACTATTTTTTAATCATTCAGGGTCAGGGGCTGTAAATTATTTTTTGGATGTACTTGAGTGTGAATTTAATATTTTTTTCTATAACAATTTTATGTCTGACAACTAACCCAGCGACACATAAAAAAGAATCATCCAATTTGGTGCAGGCGTTCGGAATTTATACATTATATATATACATGTCGGCGAGAAGGCGCTTCGTAGTAGTAGTATTATAATTCGTCCATGGGACAGGCGAAGGAACTAAGCCATACAGCCAAATCTTGGGTGAAGGCGCTTCGATTGTGCGAAACGCCATCTGTCACCCGCAGCTGTCATCTGTCAAGATCTATGGTGCTTTGCGAAACGTCAAGTTATGACATTGACGGCTGTCATCGCTTGGGAGTGGTCTATGTTTGTTCGAAGATGGCACTTTACGTTGTGCGGCCATATTGAGCGGATGCAAGCGCAGAACTCTCCGCGTTTCGTATCGCAATCCGTTTGCATCGAGTTATTATTAATGTACTCCGATTAGATAATTAAGTAATTCAACTAAATAACTGATTTGTGATCTATATGCGATCTTATTTCGAAGGAATATCTCGACCACTAATCAGATTGCGGATCTTGACTAACCTAACTTTCCGCCGGCCCCGCATGACTTTCCGACATACATATGTCGGCGAGAAGGCGCTTCGATTGTGCGAAACGCCATCTATCACCTGCAGCTGTCATCTGTCAAGATCTATGGTGCTTTGCGAAACGTCAAGTTATGACATTGATGGCTGTCATCGCTTGGGAGTGGTCTATGCTTGTTCGAAGATGGAGACTTAACCTAACTTTCCGCCGGCCCCGCATGACTTTCCGACATCAGAAATTGGGATGTAACCGACCAAGTGGACACACAGATGTCATGGATATGGAGAATCTTATTGCAGTAACAAAATCAAAACTTTCTCGCCCTCATCTATCTCATGACTGGGCCGTCGTCGAATCACATGTGCATCTGCCCGAATTCGATCCTGACAAAATACAAGAAGAATCACTTGAAGCCTTCGTAAGAAGAACCAAGCGTTCCTAATATGAAGAACAGAAACCTGAACGCTGCTGTCACGTTCTTCAATTGTGAAGCAGATGGTCACTACTCTCAAGATGCCTGTAGCTGAAGAAGATGCAACGGTGGCAAGCCTGATGGCTCGTCTGCTGGTATTGCTAGTGAGCGACGTGTGGACGTCTGCACCATTGCTACCCTTGCCGCATTTGGGTGAGTCGTTTTCATTTTGTTATGACTCTGGAGTCTTGTGCTCCCTTGTAAAGAAGTCAATATCATGAAGAATTTATGGAAACGATTTAATAACACTATTAAAATTACTGGTATTGGTGATAGAAGTGTTTATAGTATCGTGCAGATTTTAGTTATGGTTCAGATTGACGATATTGCTTTTTAATTTCTTTTTCATGTTCTCCTGGACCTTCAACTAGTTTTAATTAGGTAGTTCAACAAAACTTATTCTTTGTAACTGTTTTTTCTCTCCTATTTTTTTGTAAAGCAGTAGTATGTAAGTCGCTCAGGTTGTTTACATCTTCCGGGCCTTCGTAGTCGTAGGCGTAAATCGGGCTAGATTTCCCGTCGCATTGCGGCCACGTTTGTGAGTGGCGTGCGTCGGCTAGGAGAT